TGTGCACTCCAGAACTTGTTAATTATCTGAAGATCCAGTCTGTACACAATGAATAAAATAAATCACTTAAATTAATGATAAAGGGTTTAACATCAGCTCCATTCACTCCACCGGGCAGTGCGGTGGCTCTGTCGCTAAGGATCTGCGCCTGTGGCTGGAAGGTTGCCGGTTCAAATCCCGCAGCCAGCAGAGGAATCCTACTCGATTGGGCCCCTGAGCAAGGCCCTTAACCCCAGCTGCTCAAGAGGCACAGTATAAATAATTGACCCTGCGCTCTGACCCCAAGCTTCTCTCTCCCCGTCTGTGTGCCTGTGTGTCTCATGGAGAGCAAGCTGGCCTATGCGAAAAGACAAATTCTTAATGCATGAAATTGTAAATGGCCAATAAAGTGACCTTATTTTATTCAGATTTGACATTCCAGAATGAAAGTAAAATACAAATATACCTAAAGAGGCAGACTGAGTAGTCCAAGATCTGGTGTACTAGATCTGGAGTTATTGTGTATACAATCTGTTAATTTAGCCTTTAACTCTAAGGCTGTGTAATACCATTAGACAGCTTCTGTCCTCAGCAAAGGTCTCTGCATGTTTATTAATGGGCTACAAGAAGTACAAATCACTTGTAAAGAGTGCCCTGAATATCCAACAGTGCGCTGCTCTGTTTCAGCCAACAGCATAATAGTGCAAAACAAGTTCCCAAACGTCACAAATACATATTTCATACATTTTCCTATGCTACCCTGTGTTTCATATGTAGGGGAGAAGATAGTGGCACAGGTCATGAGATTCCAAGAACACATTTTATCCTACAGTGCTGCCACAGAGGAAAAGCCTATAGTTTTCCATTTCCTTACATAAAACAGTCATAGTAAAAATGGTCATTCCTGAATTTTCAGAAATCAGAAATTGGAAACATTCATTGTATTATATTTAATAAAATTGTCAGAAAGCAGAAATTCCACAGATAAGTACCTACAAAATAGCACAATAACTACATCAGAGATATACTGAGAAGCTGGCCCTGGGCCTACAGAACACCTGAAGTACCTAAACAACCCAAGCATTAATGTGCACACTTATTTTCTTAACAAGGTTTTGACAGTATATTTTTCAGGATATTTGCTCTGTGCAACACTTAAAATTCGAGGAACACAGAGAGGAAAAGTAAGATGTAATTTAATTGATGGTCTCTTATGCAGGTGGCCACAGGCAGTCAAAGAAAGGCATGGAGTAATGCATGACGTCCAGCAAATCATGCTAATATTATAAAACAGTTATGAAAACAATTACAGATGTATGCAAACGTTTGGGCACCCCTGGCCAAATTACATGTTTTGTTGATTTTTTAAGTGAAAAGAAGTAAACACAACCTCTGCAGCAAACAAACATAAACTTGACATATTTCTGCAAATTTTAAAGCACAATTTATTTGCTGAATTTATCAGACTGAAAAAAATAAAACAGTAAATGTGGCATATGCAAATGTTTGGGCACCCTATCAGTCAGTACTTAGTAACACCCCCTTTGGCAGAAATCACAGCCTCCAAACGGTTCTTGTAGGCAGCTGACAGTCTTTCTATTCTTCCTTTAGGAATTTTTTCCCGCTCTTCCTTGCAGAACGCTTCTAGTTAGGTCGTCTTGCATGCACTGCAAGATCTATCCACAGATTTTCAATAATATTCAAGTTTAGGGACTGTGAGGCCATTCCAAAACCTTAATCTTTCATTTCTTGAAGTACATTAGTTCATGGTTGATTTTGAGGTATGTTTTGGATCATTGTCTTGTTGTAATATCTAACCTCTTTTCACCTTCCTTTTCTTCACTGATGGTGGGACATGAGCTTCCAGGATTTGTTGATACTTAGTAGAATCCATTCTTCCCTCTACCCGCAAAATATTTCCTGTGCCACTGGCTGCCACACAACCCCAAAGCATAGTAGATCCATGCTTAACAGTTGGCAAGGTGCTTTTTTCTTCAAATCCTTCTCCTTTTTTTCTCCAGGCGTACCTTTATGATTGTAGCCAAAGAGCTCAACTTTTACCTCATCAGACCACCAGCACTTGGTTCCAAAATGCCTCTGGCTTATCTAAGTGTTGTGTTGCATACTTCAGACGTTGACTTTTGTGATGAGATCGCAGGTAAGATTTCCTTCTGATGACTCTTCCATGTAGAGCATGTTTGTGCAAGCACGAAACACACCACAGTGAACCAGTGCACCACCACTGCTGTGCCAGCTAAACCTTCCTACAGGTCCTTTGCAGTGATATTGGGGTTTTGCTTTGCATTCGTGACCAGTCTATGAGCAGTTCTATCGGAGATTTTTCTTGGTTTTCCAGATCTTGTCTTGACTTCAACAGTTCCCCTTAACTTCCATTTCCTAATGACATTTATGACAGCGGAAATTACAAGCAGGAAGCATTTAGATATCTTTTTATAGCCTTCTCTTGCTTTGTAAGAGTCAATTATCTTTATTTTCTGCTTAGAGGAGTCTATGGTTGCTGAGTGTAAGCACAACACCCTGAGAGGTTTAAAGAGTCAGAAAATTTATGAAGCTCTGGAATTGTCATCACCTGACTTAGATTAAGGCCTAATGAGTCAATTAAGTTCTGAGACCTTACAAAAACATAACACTAGTGGATCCACTTTTGCAAATGCCACATTTTATTTTTTTTCAATCCGTTAAATTTAGCAAATAAATAGTAACTGTACAACATGTAATTTGACCAGGGGTGCCCAAATTCTTGCATAAAACTGTATATCTACAGATTGACCAGCCTGCGGGATATTAAACCAGGACAGATCACATACTTCTGGGAATTGTGATCTTTTTAGGTCGATGTGTACACAGAAATGCGCTCCAGATTTAATAAAAAGGGTGTCACATTACACCTAGGTTTTACAGTACAGACGCCCCTAACAGAATACCAAGATAGTGCATTAGTTCAGACAGATTGAAGCATACAATTTAAAACAACCCATCACCACAATGTCCTGAAGCTCCTGATTTTCCTTTGGTAACACTCATCAAAATAACATCCACAGCTGATAACTTCTGAGGGCCAATAAAAGACTCAATATTGGAATTTCTACCCAAACTGCAAAGCTCCTATGCTTTACAGTGCCAAAAGAATGCAGCATCTTTTAATTTCTTAATGTCTTAAGCCCAAATACTTCTATTACTTCACTCCTTCCTGGGGATCATCCCAAGAATGTCCCAGGAATCCAGGACTGAGGTTTTCACAAACACAACACTGACTGTAATTGTAAATGTGGAAGAGGGATTGGTTTAAGAATTAATGTCAGCCTATGACATTTAAAGCATATGTCACAGAGTGGAAAAGATGAGTGTTGGGCACCAGGAGCTGAGGATTGTGTGGATGTGAAGTCATCTTAGGGGATGACTGTGTCTCCTGCCCTGATCGATGGCACTTTTAACTCACTGAAAGCACCAAGCAATTGCCACACCATCCATGGGTAATATGTGGGGCTGCAAACAGGTTTGACTGGACCTGTGGTTGAAAGGGGGTCCTGAGAACAGGAAGAGTTAGAGCAGAGTACCATGTTCGGACAGACACTTCCTGAAGGAGCACTTAAAACTTGTGTGTAGAAGGCATAAAAAGCCCCAGTCAGGACAGAAAGGAGACCTCTGGAAAAAGGACGTTTTGTGGGACTGATCGCGACAGGTGGACCCAGGAAAGAGCTATGGCACCAGGGACCAGGAGTAGCAGAGGAAGACCCCAATATTGCTTTCTCCCTCTCCACCCAAAACTGGACTCTAGGGACAGAGGAGGATGCTTGGACTGTCGCTGTCTCTTTGCTGTGGTGTGAAGAGGCTATGCAGATCACTGACCAGAGCTGGGTTCGGAGAAGAATGCTGGTGGAATTTTCTTCTGGGATGTCTTTTCTGGTAACTGGGGTTTTGGATATGTCAATGAGTAAGTGATGACATCTGATTTGTGTATTGTAGTAGTGGTCATAGGAAGCCTGTGAAGAGAAGAATAACTCTCTGGTCTGTGCATGCACTGGAGATTCTGGGAGATGAAAAGAACCTGTGGCAAGGAAGTAAGGGCCCAGTACCCTTTATAAGGTGGAATAGTCACGTACAAGGCAGGAATAATTCTTATCTGTGACACAAATTGTGTGGATTACTTACAAATTCACTACTTTTGTAGCTAACCCTTATAGATGTTCTAGGATGTACTGCTATTGCACAGCAGTTTGAATAGTAGGCCTGTCAGGTGCTATATCTGGTCAGAAAGGGATTTCTGACTCTTAATCTTAATTACAAGTAATTAATGCTTTTCATACTACAGTTAACTTGGCAGAGACCATTGCTTTAAGTTTACTGTGTTTCTAGTCAGCATAGTTAAGGAGACCTAGTATTAAACTACTTTATTTAGCTAGAACGGATGGGAATTGCTTAATTTACACATCATGTCTGTGACAGTATATGCTAACCGTAATGTTTTCTATTAAATAAAATACATAGTGGAAACAGAAAGGAGAGTGGCAAAGAAACTCAAGCTGACAGTTATGTAGACGATATCGAGGCGTTTTAATTTAACCTTATAACTCATAATACTAACAGCAAAGGCAGATTACTGTGCCAGACGTACGTCCGCGTTATATAGCAAAATGGGGATCATAAGTCTATGACAGTTACTGCATGACATACAACAGGGTGGATTATGGTTACATGTCTATTGTAAATTTAGACGTAGTTTATAGTAGTATTTTCAACCGTTAGTCATCTGCCGTGTGTTTAGTATTAAATGCTTTTCAGTGTGATGTACCGCACGTCGCATTAAAGTGTGTAAATAAAAGTCGTGCTTCCACAGACGTGGTGTTCTAAAAGTGCAACTCACTTGCAAAAGCAACTGAAAAACTTCGGTTTACTGTAAATACATTACTTATTGACACTATGCATGCCGCTTTAGGTTACAACTCTGTATCGACGGATGACATCAGGTGGTTTTTAAAACAAGATAAGTAACTGCTTACCTTCCCGCTAGCATCAAAGTGCTCACTGCACTCACTGTCCGCTCCCGCAGTGCCGGAGGCGAAGACTCCCTGATCCCAGTCCGGGTAAGGGTTTGCGAAAGCGCGTTCCTCCATCTCTGCCTCCGCACCTGCCACCAGCTTCAGTCTTTTCGACATACTGTCTCCCATTGCCACGGCAGCTCGCCACGGACAAAACAGTGGAGCACTTCGGGTTACAGCGCGCAGCCTGGGAGCGCAGAAAAGAAAACGCGTTTTCAAATTCTCAAAGTCGAGCTGGGTACATGCAGGACGGGCAGAGATTATGCTTTCCAATGCAACACAGACAAGAGATGGTCAATAACTGTACGGCAATACAGTGCTGGAAGGCGGGGGAGGGGACTAGTTGTCCAACATAAAAGCCAAGGAAAAGAGAATATTGAAATTGCCCTTTTTAGTAGCTGTTTTGACGGCCGTAACCAGCAAAATAAAACCAAAGGTCTGATTTCCGTCTTTGGATTTAAGCTCTAATAGTTTTCATAAATTGATTTTTTATGTTATAATGTGACAATTAGTATTGCACAGAACTGATCGATTTTACATTTTGTTTTGCCTGTAAAATCTAATCGTCTTAAACACGCTTTGTTTTAGAAACCCGTCAAGGACGTTCACAACTCAGATTCTCAGCATATGAAAACTTTAAAAAAAACATAAAAGTTGGCATATGATATTGCCCCCAGTTTGCTTTTTCAAAACAAGCGACGTTTAAGAAATCAATTAAAAATATTTTTTTTTAAAGAAAAACGGTACAGGGGTGTGTTCTTTAAAATCACATAGACGTGCAGGATGAAAAAGTAGACATCTTTTACATTTCATCTGCTATATATTTTTCATAGTTTAAGTGTTTAATTATTGAAAGGACTATCTAGATAAGGCCCTGTATATTTAAGCACAATTATTGCAATATTCTGACTGTGCAGGATTCAACAAAACCTGGAACATACTACAGAATACATTAAAAATGCTCAGGTATTTTAAATCATGTATGTTAAAAATGTACAAAAATATTACCATGAGCATTCGTTATATAGAGTGGGTCAGATGGGGAAACAAAAACGTATTTACAGTTTTAACAATACATTTTAAAAAATAGCAATATATCATATTCAGAGACCTGAAGTAGTCTGCAAAACGTCTCGTGTTAACAACTGCAGTAAGACAATATCCCAAATGAAGAGACCACAACCTCCCATTATTAGCAACATAACTGAATATTAATTTTTTTAAAAAAGAGAAAAGAAACTGCAAGGCACGCTCACCAGTGCTGGCCAAATGGAGAACCATAGTAAAATCCTTTCTTGCCTTTCAAACGCAGCGATTAACAGACAAAACCTCCGTAGAGACCAGCATTTGCAGCTCACAGGTCTCCCTTCCCCGCAGAGCCCATTCATTTCATTATTCTCATTCCCATTCAAGCTCCACCAAAACAGAGCACAATCTAAGCGACTCGTCACTTCATAATTGAAGATTAAATCAGTTTAAATCCGAGCAAAATTAAACTGTCTGAGTGACACAGTAGAACAAAACATAAATCTTTATTTCTTAACGTGAGCTTTCCCTCTGGCTACAGTAGCTTACAGAAGGGGAGCTGTTGTCACTAGAGCGACATTAAGCCCAGCTCCATCTTTCAGCGATCTTGCCAAAATTTAAGTCATGGCTACGAAGGAATGGTCTTGCTTGCGATATGCTGCTTTGTTGTACACATTTGGATATAAAAGGAAGATAATCTCCAAAATTGCTTGAAATACTTTATTTGACAAAAAGACCCGATTTGGGGTGTATTTTGTATTTAATTCAGAATATAACTGACGAACAAACTAAACAGGAACAAGTAATAGGTTTATTCCATGCTGAAAAAAAAAAGAACACAACGTTTCGGCCGTGGAGCCTTCTTCAGGTGTGAGGAGTATTCTGTAGTATGTGCCAGGTTTTATTACTCACACCTGGAGAAGGCTCCACGGCCGAAACGTTGCGTTCTTTCTTCTTTTTTTTCCAGCGTGGAATAAACCTATTTCTTGTTCCTTTGCAGCCTACGCATGCTGACACAGCTACCCACCTGAACTAACTAAACAACTACTAAGATGCGTTCTCTTCAAGAAATATCATTCAGTGTTTAACTTCCATTTTAGGATAGTATTTTAAACAGGCTATTATGATATTACGAAGCACAGCTGAAGTACTGTCTCTACGAAATGTCGTTTCTCTAATGCAATCTGCAATCAAAGGCTCAGAGAGAAATTAATTGAATTATGCTTGAAATACTGATGGCATGATTCCATTTTAGACTTTGTTTTAATTTAGAAAAATGCCAACAATTATCTAAAATGATGCAGACTAATGAACTACTGTCACTGATGCTGCAGGGGAAGGGTGTCAACATGACTCCAAAGTGTGTTCTTCAACAAGCGATTTCAAAGGCCAGACTGGGCCATTCTTTGACAACCGACTGGCCTCTTAGAAAAGTATGACAGGGTGTATTTTCTATTTACAAAACTGAAGTACACTTCACAAATTTAATAGTCATATTGTTTCTAATATTTTACTCACCTCAATATAATGTGTTGATCAAGACATCATTGAAGGCTTAAAAAAAAAAGGAGCAAAGAAAGTAACATGGCAAGATGCTGGATACAGCTTTGCAGCCCAGGCAATCACACATTGTAAATAGCCTTATACCTTAAGTCTTGATTTTAGTGATAGCTGTCACATTTGGGGTGAGGCCTCAGACATAGTTCCACTCTTATGGCCAAGAACTAGACACAATCACAATGCTTGAACAGATGACAGAGGGCATCAGAACAGGATGTTACATATTGTGTGGGAAAGAAGTATGTAATTCCCTTCCTTTCCCCTTTCATATCATTATGGCTCCATTAACAGTTGTAGGAGTGTTAACCCTAGTGTCCTGGCCAAATTTCCCCCTGGCCTTTACCAGTTATGGCCTCCTAAAAATCCCCATCTATGAACTGACTTCATTACTCTGTTCTCCTCCCCACTGATAGCTGATGTGTGGTGATGAGGATTCTCATAGAGGTGGGGGCTACACCTTGTATATGTAGTACCTATAAAGCACTTTGAGTTTCCTGAAAAAGTGTAAGGATTATTATTATAGATTATATTATTTTGCAGAGTTACAGCAAATTAAGGATGACATATAGTATAGTTCAAGGCATACATGCTTGAGTACTGCTGTCCACTCTCCTCATGTTCATAACAGTTTCTTAGTTCTCTGCCAGCATAATTTAGTGCACATGTGGGATAGTACAAAATAGAATAACAATAATCACATGCAACAAGCAAAATGACTTAGTTCTTATCATGCAACATAGATACAAAAACCCTGATATTACAGCATGTCAAATATAAGAAGAATGCTATGTGATTTCAGATAGTTCAGGTGGGTACCTGCGTCAGCATGCATAGGCTGCAAAAGAGCAAGTAAAGGTTTATTTTATGTTGAAAAGAGAAGAAAATAAACACAATGTTTCAATGTTTTCACACCCAAAAAAGGCTCCACAGCTGAAATGTGTTTCTTTTCTCCTCTTTTCAGCATGGAATAAACCTTTACTTGTTCCTTTGAGATCTCAGATAGTTAAACCAGTTAAACCAGGACAAGACAGGCACTGTCCTGTTGAGCTCTGTGACCCAGAAATCTGTATGTAGTAATCAATTGGGATTGGGATTTCCAAAACAGCACATAACAGGATTAACACATAAAAGCCACCAGATTCATGTGGAGAGCTAGTTGGGTAGGGCTGTCTCTGTTCTCTAGCAAATACATTTTGAATGCCTGCAGTGTATTTGTAGTAACATCAGTGAAACACAGTGGGTGTATATAATTTAAAACAAAAAACATTCATATTGTAATTTTACGTTATTTTAGTAATTTAACATATGAACACTCAATGGTAGCCACAATGTGCTGGTGTCATTCTGCATAGTAAATGAAATTGTTGTAATGTTTCTCACCCATGTAATGCAGAGGTTCAGCTGTGTCACACAAGGGCAATGAGACATCTTTGTAAACACGGGACTGTGAGAACAGTTTAGAAAATTAGATCAAAGGTTCATTTTCATTACTTTTGATGGGTTTTTGATTTGTCGTTTGAACACGAGAGTACTAATGAATTGACCCAGAGCACAGCATGACTAGCTATTAGATTTCTGCTTTGGGAATAAGATGGATTCTGTCTGACTCCTTATTATTAAATTTACTTAATGTTAAAATTAATTTTGATGGCAGAATGAACAATTTAATTTACACAGGAACAAGTAATAGGTTTATTCCACGCTGAAAAGAGAAGAAAGAAAACACAACATTTCGGCCGTGGAGCCTTCTTGAGGTGTGAGAGCTTTTCAGCATGGAATAAACCTATTACTTGTTTCTTTGTAGCCTACGCATGCTGACGCAGCTACCCACATGACCTGATTTAATTTACACACCACTTACAAACCTTGAAAATACAGGACATATAGATGCGAGATACTATAGTTCTGCTTTATGCTACAGGATCTATTTAAATCTTTTGCTTTCTTTTCCCCACTCTTTAAGTTCTGACTTTTGCCATAGATGTTTACCTTGGTCTGCTCTGAGCAATACTTAGTAGGGGTGTTTAGTGCTAAATTCCACTCTCGTTATGTATAATCTGACCTAACAAAAGTTCATCTTTAATTTATTTATTGAACCAATTTCTCATTTTTCTACCTGGACTGGAGTGCAGTGGGGCTGCCACATGTCATATGGGTGGGTCCTGCACTTCAACGCGTTCTCACAGATATTTATTTTAGAAATACAGGTATGAAGTAGCCTTTATAACAAGACTACCATGTTAGTATTCACATATTAACTAATAGTTGAAAGATCTTTTCTTCTCTACAGTACATTTTAACAGTAATTAGTTTCAGCTTTCATTCTCTGCGTTTACAATGCTTTCACTTTCCTTACTATTCTATATATTATGAAATACCGTAGGAAGCACTGATGTGATCATGACACACTGATGCCAACAGAGAGTAGTCATCTAGGTTTTGAGTTGTATTTTTGTATTTTGTATTTGTATTTGTACTTGTATTTTTTTAGTTCATCTGATGATACAATGAACCTGTCAGAGGCAGCACTGTATCTTTCATGAATGCTCATAAAGGGAACACTACCATCTCTAGACAAGCAAATCCTCAAGTATACACTTACTGATGCTTGTGTACTGCTTGTGTACTGCAGGCTGTGCAGGGATGTGCAATCCTGTATCGAGCCTCTCAACAGCAGACTTGTACTTCTGCTGGATTATTGTGGACTAAATACTAAAGATAAGATCACTTTATTGGCATTATACAATTTCTTGCACTAGGAATTTGTATTTTGGCATACCCCAGCTTGCTCTCCATGAGACACACAGACAGAGAGAAGCTTGGGGTCAGAGCGCAGGGTAAGCCATTCTACAGTTCCCCTGGAGCAGCTGAGGTTAAGGGCCTCGCTCAGTAGCCCAATGGAGTAGGATTCCTCTGCCGGCTGCAGGATGTGAACCGGCAACCTTCCAGCCACAGGCGCAGATCCTTCGCCACAGAGCCACCGCTCCGCCCCCTAGGTTTTTTCCCGACAGCTGAGCAAGGCACCTGTACTGAGAGAGCAGCGGGGTACCAGCCGCCTCTCTCCCAGCCAGCGAGCTGCACAATAAAGCCTGTACAATGCAGATTCCTAATCCAGCTCTTTACCTCACTCTCTACCTTGAAAATCTCTTCACATGAGCTTTTTTTTCCAAAAAACATAGCAAATACCAATCAGCTAGATCCGATCATGAATATGGAGAAGTACACATCACTGTCTTTAAATTAACAACAGCACATATCTACAAAATGTTATGATTTGGATTCTGAAAATACAAAAGAAGCCCCTCAGGAAGAAACAGAGAGGTGCATTTTGTAAGGGACAAAATTAACTGGGTTATAGTATGTTCACATAAGGGAATGGGGACTTTGTTTAGGATTCTTTTCTCTGGTTTTTGCAAAGGAGCTAATGTTTAATAAAATATAGCATGGCAAAAAATAAGCACTGGCCAAAAAGAAGACACCAGTATTGATACTATTATACTGTGCAGTGATATGAGAGAGCAGAATATGTTGAGGATGTCTCCACATCTGGACACTACAAAATGTTAGAGAAATTACTTACCGTTTGGAGAGGAAGTTGAGCTCCACAGTTGAGACCCAGGTAGCCAATCAGTAACTGTGACCAGAATTCCTCAAGCAGCATTACACAGCTGGTGGAGTGCTGCCATCTCTGTGTGCACTTGAATCACGAAGGGAGTCTTCAGCTTGCTGTGTGCCACTGATCCCCGGGTCTTGCCGAGCGCTGACAAGCCTGCGTTTAACTGTCCTGTAACACTGAGGCCAAGCTGATTAATAATTTGGTTGTTCTGAACTGTCAGAATATAAAGAGAAACAACTGACAATGCATTTTAAAACTAAACATTTTTTTAAATATTCCTGGGACAAAGGATTTATTGTGTAGAAGGAGAAGCATCTAGCAAAAAATGCCACCTCACATGGTTTGAAACTTGTAACAGAGAGTGTAATGGTATTTTATGATGCGTTGTTAGTGCCAATCAGTGACCTGGTAAATTGAAACTTTATTCCAATAAACTG